CAATTCAATTAACAGTTTAATGATCTGTTGGTCGACTACTCACGTGATCGGACCACGAAATGTACACATCTTTGACATCATTAGTGGACCCATTGTTTACTCTAACCATTGCTGTGGACGCTATGATTGAGCAATCGTTGGCCAGTTTGATGTCGTGTTGATCACAAAGTTTACTAATTATTACATCAAATTCATCGTTAATATTAACCAATAAATTAAGTTTCACTTCAAATAAATGACAACAAAAATGATTACTTTTTTAGTTTTTGAAACAAAAATTCAGTTATTTTTTGAGGCGAAGTGTTTGTGGCCTTAAGTCTGACGGTTGACGTGAATTGAATGATATGCGGTTTGATTCCCAACTCTTGCATCGCTTTACTCGGATCTACTAAACGAAACTGAGGACCCGTTCCAGTGTTGGTCATCATAAGAGTTCCGTGAAGTAGTTTCGGCCGCTTCGGGTCAGAGCTATCGCTCGACGAGTTGAGCGATCGCTTTAACAGATCGATCTCAACGTCGACCGGAATATTGACTTTGGTATCAATGGTGACGGTCTCGCCGTTGGCCGGCATATAGCACTCGATCTGGAACTCCTGTTTGATCTTCTTGTGCAGGAACTCCATCTTCGAGGCCTCGCCGTGAACTAGCAGTACATTCTTGGGTTCGCACTGTTGTATTAAAGTCATGATTCCTAACCATTGGTATTCAAATGTAACATCAATTCAATTGCAATCGTGTGGTCAGAGCTGACATACCCTTAGCGTCCGCGTGAGCGCTGAAAGACATGTACTGAACAGACATTTTCACTTCAATCGACTGTTTGTTTTCAAATTCAACTTTTTTGGCAAATTCAATTGCAATCGTGTGGTCAGAGCTGACATACCCTTAGCGTCCGCGTGAGCGCTGAAAGACATGTACTGAACAGACATTTTCACTTCAATCGACTGTTTGTTTTCAAATTCAACTTTTTTGGCGCCGTTTAGTATCTTATGGCCAACAGTTCCGGAGACACAAAAGCCGGGCATAATTGCCATATTGTTCTCATTGGGCGCCCACTTCTTGAACAGATGCAAAGAGAGACCCGAGTGAAGCATACCTGACAACCAGACATAGAGATCATTAGTGAACAATCGTTATAACAAACAGTATTGGTATGAATGCAGTACCGGGTGTGGCGAACACAACCATAGGCCCCGGATTGTCAGAATAGGACCGATCGAAAGGCTTTATATATTTAAAGTCAAACATATTCTTCTGGACAAACGTCTTCTTAATCTTCTGATTAGTCCAAGTGATGAACAGTTTGTAATAATTGGTGGCCTTTTCGGTCAAACCCATAGCGAAATAGATGGGAGCCTTCAGATTCATGCGCTCCCAATAGGTCTCCAATAATATACACAACTCTTGAGCTCTGCCTAAAGCGAAGACAGGGATCAATACTTTGCCGCCCTTTTCGATACACTCGTGTACTTTCATTAGGAAATCGCGTTCCCGACAGCGCTTGGAGTCGCGAATAGTGGTCGCGTACGTCGACTCAGTGATCAACAGATCGGGTCTGCATTTGTCAATCCAAGCGCTGCCCAAATGCCGGTCGGGAGTCATGTTATAGTCGCCGGTATAGACCACCGACTGTTGGCCGACACGGATGTGGAACATAGCGGCGCCCAACACGTGTCCCGCGTAATAGCATTTGATCTCCAGCTGGTCGTCGACGCGGACCGTCTCGTGAAGGTTGACGGCAACCACTTTCTTCATGCAATCCTTAATCATCTGAGAGGTGAAGAAATTGGTTTCTCCCTTCT